TTCAGTTTGGTCCGATTATGGCGCATTGCAGGCGTGCTCACTTTAGCCCTTACCCTGCCCTGCCCAGCCCTGCCCTGCCCTGCCCCGCCCACTTTCGATGCTCATTGAGAAGTTGACGCAAATGCCTTTCGATTTTTCGTGCTGCTTGGCTTTTCGCATTGCATAATTGATTGTCTCTCTCCATGTATGGATGTTACTTTACATAAGTGCATGTGAGTGAGTGTGTGTGCGCGCGTGTGTTGGTCTGTATGTGTGACTCCTGCTCGCCCCAATTTATGCACATTTTCAATATGCAGTCAGTTTAGACCGCAGTGTGATTTAACTTTGCGTGAAACATTGAATTTGTGCTAGGAAATTTTCCATTTTAAAGCTATCCCAGATGTGCCTAGGAAATAAAATGATAGTTAAGAAAAAATATGCTAAAACTTCATTTCACAGGAGATATACACCTGCTTGTATTCTTCACTAAATGCAAAAAAAAAAAAAAAAAAAAAATTCCGTCAAATTTTCATATTCAAATCTTGTTCTCTTTACATAGAATATTTTTCGAGATTTTAGTATATTTAGTGTTTAGAAATAAAATTATAAATTTAAGTACAAAAATGTAATTCAATAATTAAGTATAAGAATTCAAAACTTGTTTTATTTGCAGCTTTAATTGAACAAAACATTGATTGAAAGCCCAGACCTAATGGAAGCACTAAAAAAAAAAAACTTTTTATTTTGTAATTGTTTTGTGCGAATTAGTTTATTATATGGCAAAATTTGTGCACCATAAATATTTTTATAAACAATTCAGACTAAACAATTGTCATGCTTAGATTTTTTATTTTTATTCTTACTTTTTTAATTCGTTTAAAGCATAAAAAAAAAAATCTATTTTAAATTGCATCCATTTGCACATTGCGCGAGCAGATTTTGACAGCTCCGCGTTGCGAATGCAATAATATCAGGACATGTGCAAAACAGAATACACTCAGTTATAATGTGTGTGTGTGTGCATGGGTGTGAGTGTATTGGTCACATCAACTGTCACACTTTGCTGATTTCATGTGTAAACTGCGCGAGTTGGAAATTTGAAATTCATGTGCAATAAAATGTTGATATTCTTCGCACAGAGTCGACACCGCAGGCCTCATTACAACACCCACACGCATGCACACCGACACACACATACACACACACCCACACATGCTCTCATGTATTTATGTTTGCATTTGATAAATATACTTATATACAAAAACTGTCATAGCACACGCTCTTGGAGAGATTGCAAATTGCATGCGAGAACTCCCACGAGTCTAATAACAGAGTAAAAACAAGTATGTTAATTTAGTTGGGTGAAACCGAACCCGGGATACTCCATATATGTATATAATAGGCTATGAAGATGTAGAGAAATATATATTTGATTAATAAAATCAAAACAAATCATCTATAATTCACAATATCTATTCATTATTCAATATTATTTCAGACAAACGCCTGCACACAGTGCATATACCCTGCCGCATTAGATACACACGAGATGAATCTGATGTCGTGATATAGCCATGCATAGTAACAAGCCACGGTCCGTGCCTGACTGTATAATGATGAGCAACGATATCGCTGTCTCTTAGCATGAGAAATTTAATTTTTACCCATGCACCTTAGATATATACACCCACAGACACGCAGGCACCCACACACACGCAGACAGCCACAGTGAACCACATAATTGTGTATTCAAGTAAGAGATATGGGAGTTAAAAGAAGCTTCTATCGCTGTGAGGTGCACTAACTGGCAGAGGAATTGGGTTTGGGTTTGGCTTTGGGTTTTGGTTCTGGGCTCTGGGCTCTGGGCTCTGGGTTCTTGGCTGACTTAAATTAAGATAATGACACGTGAGAGACGCCAACGCATAGCCCTGGGGGGCTGAGTTACCTTTTTGCTTTAAAAAGTATCCCTCGACTGTGCGGCGCATGGGCCACACGACTATTTAAGTGTGTTAAAGGAAGCGCTTGGTAAATTGCGATAAGGCCAAAATGGCGCTCAGCTGAACTGGCTTACATTTACACACTTAACCCTTGAGTTGGGCTGGCTGGCTGGCTGGCAGAGAACATGGCATGGCACGCACTTTAAAGCCGCCAATCCGCCAATTTGATGGCAAACTGCCAAAGAGCTGACAATGATGTCGACGATGATGACGTTTGCGACCTGCATGCCAATGCGCTGCTTCTTTGCAAAATTGAATTTTGTGCCTAGCCTTGTGGGTGGCAGCATACCCGACCATGCCATACCATACCAGACTATGCCAGCCAGCCAGCCAGTCAACCATGTCCAATGTCCTCGCCTCGATCCGCAGTGTCCTGTGTCCCATGTACCTCGTAACTGGCACAGATTACAAATCATTATTGGCTGCCATTGTTGGGGTTAGGCCAATGGAATTGGTAGCTTATGCGCTCAGGAATTCAGCCCGCAGACGAATTGAAACTCGCCAAAAGGAATACTTAACTAGCTGTTGCTATACATACGTATAATTCAATAATATTGCTGAAATTAGTTTCCCAAGAAGTGGGGCATTTCCAGGGAAGCTAACCTCATTTTACAGACTATATAAAACCGATTCTTAGCTCTTTGGAAAACGGGTTTGACTATATTCAATTCAAAAGTCTAATTGCTTTCCGATTAGCTGTCATTGGTTTGTCTTTTGGCAAAAGTTGGGCTCAGACAATTGACAGCGCTTTGAATATTCCTAGAAYAACAACAGCAACAACAACAAGGAAAATGCAGCAGTGAAAAGAGAAAATTAACGTTAAGCCATACAAAAGGCACGTCAAGTCAGTTGGTAATCCGCGCATCTCCATTGCTCACATACCGTCAATATATAAACAATGCGATGACGGCAAATCCAAAAAGGAAACCCCAGACAATGGAGCCACATGAAAGCAAACTTGGAGCACAAATTTTCTTTGATTGATGCGCAAATCAGCAAATCAATTGGAATGCCACAAAAATAAACTAACACACAAAAAATGGAGCAGAGCAGACCCAGCAATAAATAGATAGAAGCAGAGGGAGACAGATACAGCGAAAGAGCGAGACAGAGAGAGACAGCAAGGCGGGAAATAGCGAGAGCGAAACGCGTTGGCTGTTCAACTTTTTACACTAAATTTGCATTTCCAATGCCCGCAGGTGAATGTGGGCGTGGTGGTGGGCGTTACATGTGATTTTGATAGAACTGCGTGATTTGTGCACTACGGAAGCAACCCAAAAAAAAAAAAAAATGAAGCAAAATGAAGCAACTAGGAAAGTGAAAAAGGGACAAACCAGACGTATGAAATAAAAGAAAAACGAAATGTTGCCAACGCTGCCAAAGCATAGTTGCCATCGTCGGCACAACGACGCATTGAAATATTTCTCTGCTCCAAGTAAATCACAACGCGTCGCTGGAACTATGCTGCGGTGTAAAGTTAACGAAACGGTTGCTTGCCCCAAAGCTAACCCCCTGGGATGCCATTTCAACTGCACGCACCCACCTAACAAACGCGTCACGATGCTTATGCACACACACACACACACATACACGACAACAACACATGCATACGCACACACGCCCTAAGCCTTGCTGCAGGGTTCAGCAAGATACTGCATAGTGGAGCAAGGCAGTCAAATAAGAATATAATAAATAAAA